AGGAAGTAGGAGAATTGTCTTAAAGTGTAGACTGTTGGGCTGTGTGAAAAAAGCCTCGATGAACTCATGACAATATTAGTCAACAGAGAATCGTTTATGCAAGTCTTTCATCACAGCTTCTCTTTAGGGCGACTAAGCTTCTTCGCCTTGTCATGGATACATACACGTTAAATATAAATATAAATAAATAAATAAATGAATATGTTTGTCTGTGCGTGTGTGTGTGTCTAAATGACAAGGCGAAGGCGCTCATATATATATAATTTGGCAGACATCCTCAGTGCTAGAAACCATACTTTATGAAATATTCCAACAATATACCATTTTCTGAGATGTATTCACCCTGGTTGGTTTAAGGTGAAGGACAGTTGAATTTTCCCACAATGATATGAATAGAGCAGACGTTTGCAATAAATTTCACATTAAATAATTAAGATTTCGAGGCTACAAATAAATCATTTATATGAAATGTATTCATCCTTTTCGCTTAAGGTAATGAAGGACTGATGGTCTCGAAATCCTACTTATGAGCGAAAAATAAGTAATGTCTTCGATTGTCATGGCAAATATAACCTTGCTTCGTCAACCAAACAATAGGATATGGGAAAAAAATTGACTTTCCTCGAAATTCACATCTGCTTTGTGAATCAAGGACACTCGTGGCAATGTGACGGTGTGGTTGACATGTCGAGATTACTTGCTACATTGTCATGGTTCGACTTCCGCTGGAGGTGTTGATAGAATCTAGGCGACGTGGAAACTGCAGTCCACTACTGTCTGGATGAGAACACCTTTTGGATAAGCAAGGCAATGCTAAATTCAATGGAAATGTCAACTATATTCACATCATTCCATCATCATCTTAATGGAAATAGGGTGAAAATATCTCATGCAACTGATTTTCTGTTTTTTTTCGAAACGCTACTTGTGTACGAAAAAAATATATCATTTTACTTGGTTACTTATTCTATTAGGCTGTTTCTTTAAATATGGATTTTTTCTTTGATGATCTTTGGCACGCGACAAACACAAGCTTAGTCATACTTAATGGGAGTTGTAAGACGGTGAGCAGAGTACTGTTACGCAAAATCGAACAGTTTTTACTCCTCGGAAGTCTATCCTACTTCGGTTATATACGGAGCTAATTCACGAATTTACTCCTACCAATGAAGTTCCTCAGAAATTAAAATTTCTGTACCAGTAACTGCCCTCCTAGCCTATACAAAGCATCCGC